TTGGAATCGTGCACTGATATGAGAATGCATCAATAATATATAGCTTTAGAAATAGCAGAATAAGCCGGGCTCAGTGGCTCAGCCTGTAATCCCATGCCTTGGGAGGCTGAGGTGAGTGGATTGCCTGAACCCGCGGGTTCAAGAACCGCCTGGGCAACTTGGTGAGACCTCATCTCTACAATAAATCAGAAAAATTAGCCGGGCGTGGTAGCACGTGCCTGTAATTCCGGCTACTTGGAAGGCTGAGGCGGAAGGATCGCCGGAGCCCAGCAGGTCGAGGCTGCGGTGGCCGGGAGTGGCCACTGCACTCCAGTCTGGGCAACAGAGTGAGACTCCAACTCAAAAAAACAAAACAAAAAACAAAAAAAAAAAAACAAAAAGAAATAGCAGAATAAAATGTATAGCCGGGCATGGTAGCAAGCACCTGTAGTTCCAGCTACTTGGAAGGCTGAGGTGGAAGGATTGCTAGAGCCCAGCAGGTCGAGGCTGCGGTGGCCGGGAGTGGCCACTGCACTCCAGTCTGGGTGACAGAGTGAGACTCCAACTCAAAAAATAAATAAATAAAATGTAGTATAGTATAATGTATGTTAAAAAAACGTTATGTGTTGGCTGGGTTCGGTGGCTCTGCCTGTAATCCCGCACTTTGGGAGGCTGAGGTGAGTGGATTGCCTGAGCCCATGGGTTCAAGACCCGCCTGGGCAACTTGACGAGACCTCATCTCTACAGTAAATCAAAAAATGAGCCGGGCGTGGTAGTGTACGCCTGTAGTTCCAGCTACTTGGAAGCTACTCGGAAGGCTGAGGCAGAAGGATCGCCGGAGCCCAGCAGGTCGAGGTTGCGGTGACCGGGAGCGGCCACTGCACTCCAGTGTGGGCGACAGTGAGACTCCAACTCAAAAAAAAAAGAAGGGACAGGAAGGAGTAGAATGAGAATACTGAGGAATAGAGGAGGGACACAGACTATCCCTTCAGGCACTATTTAAAACAGGAAGAGTCCTAGCATTGTGCTGTGTGTCTCCCTATACCTCCTCATCTTGCTATGGTCACAGGTGCCACACGTTTTTTTTTTCTTTCTTTACAATTAATCCTAGAGGGGTAAATTCTTCACCAAGTAGAGTAATAGGGTCCCATTTCTGCTACCATGTTTTTCAATTCTTTGATAGTATCCCATATTTGGGAATCACAAATGAAACCAAATGGAACATGTGATATGAACAATGTCTTATTTTCATATAAATTTTTCTTTTTGAGTTGGAGTCTCACTCTGTCACCCAGACTGGAGTGCAGTGGCCGCTCCCAGCCACTGAAACCACGATCTGCTGGGCTCTGGCAATCCTTCCGCCTCAGCCTTCCAAGTAGCTGGAACTACAGGCATGCGCTACCACGCCAGGCTAATTTTTTGATTTATTGTAGAGATGAGGTCTCGTGAAGTTGCCCAGACGTGTCTCGAACCCGCGGGCTCAGGCAATCCACTCACCTTAGCCTCCCAAAGCGCAGGATTACAGGCTGAGCCAACGAGTCCGGCTTTTCATGTAAATTAGCACCAGGTCTATACATTAGATATAACAACATGAAATCTGGTTCCTTCGGGAAACAAAAGACTTTTTTGTTTGGGACATCAATAATTAGAAGTCTACATGGAAGCAGAAGTGTTCACAGAGGTTTCCACTGTCAGAGAGAAAAACTCAACAGATGGACCGCGGCTGCTGTGGGTGAGAGGCCTTCCAGCCAAGGCAGAGATGCTAAACTGATGGGTTTCAAACATCTGCCAAGTGCTCCTCATCTTGAAAGTCACTGCCTCAAAGGTGGAACACCATCTGTCCCTGAAGAATCAAGTCACCATCTGTGTTTCTGAGATACTGTCCAGTCAGGCCTCAGTTGAGATGAGACCGATGATTTCAAATGTAAAATGCCTGAACCACCATCAGCTTCAGGTTGAGTTCAGGTCCACTGAACTGGGTTGGTAAAAATGGCCCACTAGACATGTGCTGGGCAGTGGGATTTAATTCTTGCTCTTACCAGATCCTCATTGATCCATGCCTCACGCTCCCTTATGCCTCAACTTCCACAGGATTTCCAGGAAGCCATAGCCCGTGACCCCTGGCAAAGCTCTGAAGCTGTGCCAAAGTGGCTGGACTGGGCTCTGACTGGAGAGAGCAGAAGGCAACGTCACAATGAGCAGTGCCTGGGACATCAGCCCACTTCCACAGTGGCTTAAGAAGCAGGTGGTACCAGGCGCAGTGGCTCAAACCTGTACTCCCAGCACTTTGGGAAGCCAAGGCAAGAGGACTGTCTGAGCTCAAGGGCTCTAGACCAGCCTGGGCAACTTGGTGAGACCTCATCTCTATAATAAATCAAAATATAAGCTGGATGTGGTAGTTCCAGCTTTTTGAAAGACTGAGGTGGAAGAATGGCCTGACCCAGTAGGTTGAGGCTATGGTGGCTGTGAGCATGCCACTGCACTCCAGCCTGGGTGACAGAGTGAGTCTCTGACTCAAAAAAAAAGAAAAAAGGTGGTGTCCTGGGCTGAGGAGATCAGTGCTCTGGAGAGACCTAGGTTCTGGTAGAGAAGACTTACTAGCAATAAGCAATATGAAAATGAAATTAAGAATAAATGAAGAAAAAATGCGCAGCCTCATTAGTCATCAAAGAAATGCAAATTAAAATCACACTGAGAAACCAGTCATGATGGCCATCACCAATAACTCAAAAAACAACAGTCGCTGGAGAGAATGCGGGGAAAGGGCAACACTTCTACACTATTGGTGGGAATGTAAACTAGTACAACCTCTGTGGAAAACAGTTTGGCGATTCCTAAAAGATCTAAAAATAGACCTTCCATACCACCCTGCAATCCTCCTTACCGGGAATATACCCAAATGACCTCAAATTACTCTAAGAAAAAGATACCTGCACATGCATGTTTATTGCAGCATTATTCGCAATAGCAAAAACATGGAACCAACTGTGCAGGCCATCAAAAGAGGATGGAATAAAATAAATGTGGTACATATAAAGAAGGACAAAATTATGAACTTCGCAGCAACTTGGATGGACTTATGGTTTATAACACTGAGTAATCTATCACAGAAACAAAGAGCCAATTATCACATATTCTCACTCATAAGTGAACCTTGAACAACTATCATAATACTATAAAAAAGGGATTGGCAGTAATGGGAAACTGCTATGGGATGGGGGTACATGTCATCAACAAGGGTACCTGCATAATGAACATTTGTATACCTAACCCAGAATTGTACCCCACATCTTTTTTTAAAAAAATTTAAAAAGAAGAAGAAATGAAGAAAAGAAAAAAATTCTATGTAAAAATAATCAACGGTAATCATATTATTTAGGAATAAATTTAACCAAGGTCTAAGACTCGTATATGGGCCAGGCACAGTGGCTCACGCCTATAATCCCAGTGCTTTGGGAGGCTGAGGTGAGAGGATTGCCTGAGCCCACTGGTTCAAGACCAGCCTGAGCAACTTGGTGAGAGCTCGCCTAAACAGTAAATCAAAAAATTAGCTGGGCGTGGAACTACGTGCCTGTAGTTCCAGCTGCTTGGAAGGCTGAGGTGAAAGGATCGCCTGAGCCCAACAGGTTGAGGCTGTGGCTGTGAGCATGCCACTGCATTCCAGCCTGGGTGACAGAGTGAGATTCCAACTCAAAAAAAAAGACTTGTGCATGAAAAGTTACTAAACATTGCTTAAAAATTTCGAAAAAGCCTACATAAATGTATAGACATCTTATATTCAATGATTAGAAGACTTAATAGTTGTCAAGATGGCAATACTACAGAAAGTAATCTACAAAATCATTGAGATTCCTGAGAAAATCCCAAAATCCTTTGACAGAAATGGACAAGCTGATCCTGATGCTCAGGTGAAATTTTAAGGAATCCCAAGTGGCCAAAACAATTGTAAAAAAGGAAAGCCAACTTGATTGTTCACATTTTCCAACTTCAAATCTTACTGAAAAGCAACAGTTTAAAAAAAAAAAAAACAACACATCAGTGACTCAGCCTGTAATTCCAGCACTTTGGGAGGCCGAGGCAAGTGGATTGCCTGAGCCCACAGGTTGGAGACCAGCCCAGGCAACTTGGTGAGACTTCATCTCTACAATAAATCAGAAATTAGCTAGGCATGGTAGCACAGGCCTGTAGTTCCGGCTACTTGGAAGGCTGAAGCAGAAGGATCGCCGGAGCACAGCAGGTCGATGCTGGGGTGTCCATGAGTGTGCCACAGCACTCCAGCCTGGGTATCAGAGTGAGACTCCAACTCAAAAAAACCCAAAAACAAACAAAAAAACTCCATCATGCTACTGGCATAAGGATATCAATGGAACTGAATTTCTAGTCCAGAAATAAACCCAAATCTCTAATGGTCAATTAATTTTTGGCCAGGCTCGGTGGCTCAGCCTGTAATCCCAGTGCTTTGGGAGGCCAAGGTGAGTGGATTTCCTGAACCCGCTGGTTCAAGACCCGCCTGGACAACTTGGTGAGACCGCATCTCTACAACCAAAAATTAGCTGGGCGTGGTAGTGCCTGCCTGTAGTTCCGGCTAATTGGAAGGCTGAGACAGAAGGATCACCGGAGCCCAGCAGGGTGAGGCTGCGGTGGCCGGGAGCGTGCCATTGCACTCCAGTCTGGGCAACAGAGTGAGACTCCAACTCAAAATAAATAAATAATTTTTTAACAAGGGCCAAGACCATTAAGTTAAACAAATAGCGTTAGACGACTGACTACCCACATGCAAAGGAATGAAATTGTACTTTTATCTCATACCACATAGAAAAATAAACACAGTCCAGGAGTGGTGGTTCAAGACTGTAATCCCAGTATTTTGGGAGGCAGAAGCAAGAGAATTGCCTGAGCCCAGGGGTTTGAGACCAGCCTGGGCAACATGGCAAGACCTCATCTCTACAATAAATAGAAAAATTAGTCAGGCAAGGTAGCACTTACTGTACTTAGAAAGGATTGAAAACATGCTTTTCTTCTCAACAAGTTTGCTGCCAGAGCACAGGTCATGAAAACCACCCCTAAAGGCCAAAATGGGAAAGGAAAAGACACACATCAACATCATCATCATTGGACACGTCGATTCAGGCAAGTCCACCACTACTGGCCACCAGATCTACAAATGTGGTGGCATCGACAAAAGAACCATCGAGAAATTCAAGAAGGAGGCGGCTGAGATGGGAAAGGGCTCCTTCAAGTATGCCTGAATCTTGGATAAACTGAAAGCTGAGCGTGAACATGGTAGCACCATTGATATTTCCCTGTGGAAATTTGAGACCAGCAAGTACTACATCACTATCATTGATGCCCCAGGACACAGAGACTTCATCAAAAACATGATTACACATCTCAGGTTGACTGTGCTGTCCACATTGTTGCTGCTGGTGTTGGTGAATTTGAAGCTGGTATCTCTAAGAACAGGCAGACCCGTGAGCATGCCCTCCTGGCTTACACACTGAGTATGAAACAACTAATCGTTGGCGTTAACAAAATAAATTCCACTGAGCCACCCCACAGCCAGAAGAGATATGAAGAAATTGTTAAGGAAGTCGGCACTTACATTAAGAAGATTGGCTATAATCCTGACACAGTAGCATTTGTGCCAATTTCTGGTTGGAATGGTGACAACATGCTGGAACCAAGTGCTAACATGCCTTGCTTCAAGGGATGGAAAGTCACCCATAAAGATGGCAATGCCAGTGGAACCACGTTGCTTGAAGCACTGGACTACATGCTGCCACCAAGTCGTCCAACTGACAAGCTCTTGTGTCTGCCTCTGCAGGATGTCTACAAGATTGGTGGTATTGGTACTGTCCCTGTGGGCCGAATGGAGACTGGTGTTCTCAAACCTGGCATGGTGGTCACCTTTGCTCCAGTCACCATTACAACTGAAGTAAAGTCTGTTGAAATCCACCATGAAGCTTTGAGTGAAGCCCTTCTTAGGGACAACATGGGCTTCAATGTCAAGAATGTGTCTGTCAAAGATGTTCACTGTGGCAACGCGGCTGGTGACAGTAAAAATGATCCACCAATGGAAGCAACTGGCTTCATTGTTCAGATGATGAACCTGAACCATCCAGGTCAAATCAATGCTGGCTATGCCCCTGTACTGGATTGTCACACGGCTCACAGTGCATGCAAGTTTGCTGAGCTGAAGAAAAAGATTGATCACCATTCTGGTAAGAAGCTGGAAGATGGCCCTAAATTCTGGTGATGCTGCCATCATTGATATGGTTCCTGGCAAGCCCATGTGTGTGCAGAACTTTTCTAACTATCCTCTTCTGGACATTTTGCCATCCATGATATGAGGCAGACAGTTGCTGTGGGTGTCATCAAAGCAGTGGACAAGAAGGTTGCCGGAGCTGGCAAGGTCACCAAGTCTGCCCAGAAAGCTCAGAAGGCCAAATTAATATTATCCCTAATACCTGCCACCCCAGTCTTAATCAGTGGTGGAAGAATGGTTGCAGAACTGTTTGTTTCAATTGGCCATTTAAGTTTGATAGTAAAAGACTGGTTAATGATAACAATGCATCGTAAGACTTTCAGAAGGAAAAGAAAATGTTTTGTGGACCATTTGGGGGTTTTTTTGTGTGGCAGTTTTAAATTATTAGTTTTTGAAATCAATATATTTTTTTTTTTTTGAGTTGGAGTCTCACTCTGTCGCCCAGACTGGAGTGCAGTGGCCGCTCCCGGCCACCGCAGCCTCAACCTCCTGGGCTCCGGCGATCCTTCTGCCTCAGCCTTCCAAGTAGCTAGAACTACAGGTGCGCGCTACTACGCCTGGCTAATTTTTCGATTTATTATAGAGATGAAGTCTCGCTGCCGGGCGCGTCTCGAACCCGTGGGTTCAGGCAATCCACTCACCTCAGCCTCCCAAAGGTGCAGGATTACAGGCTGAGCCACCGAGCCCAGCATGGCTGGGAAATCTAAGAGAAAGGATGAGTTGTACTTTGTACTGCTATTACAAGTCTTCTGTAAGAATGAAATTACTGGAACGTAGTTACTTTTATACACAACCACCTCAACACCATCAACACCATGATAGTAAAGAAGAGACCACATCAATCTTCATTCTTGAAGCTGAGCCAGACCCAGATCCAGGTCAGCTGAGGCTGTGATGCCAAGTGCCAGGTAAGTCTGAATGTCATGTTGTTGCAGCAACTGCAACAACTCACCAGGAACAGGAATGAATGCACTCAGAACAGGCACCAGAGACCAAGAGGAGAACTGAAGGCATTTATTCTGGAAGTCTCAGGTGGAGTAGCCTCCCAAAACCTGAGCCCAACCCTCAGTTTTAAGCTGTTTGTATAGAGCTTTTTGTGGTTACAACCCTGCATGGGTTTACCATTGGTGAATTTACAATTTTAAATTTAGGACCAGGAACGGTTGCTTCTGCAACAAGCATTGAAGAAAACACCTTTATGGACATTTCCATATGAGGTGCAGTAAAGCATGTTTACAGAAGCAGAAATTGTGGTTAAGGGAAATGGCATGCGGCTGCTTACTTAAGATAAAACCCTTGAGGTCAGCTTTCCTGCTTAATTCCTGTTTTTCTATCTCATTTCCCCTTTGATGCCCTTTAAAGTTTTTCTAAGGGGCATCACCTGCTTTCCATATCTTGTAGAGAAAGTTGTTTATAGCTGTGGAGAAACATTTGAAATTTTATGGATTCTAGGCGGGAGGAAACAAATTGAACTATTAGGTTGAGAATGTAGGGCTCAAACAGGAGTGCCAATAGGACTATGAGGAGGGGTCCAGCTAATGGGAGAAGCCAGGATGCCCAACTCCAAATATTGTTTCAATTCAGCCAATTCTTGTCTTCTTTTTTGACTCATTTTCTTAATTGTTGGGCCATGACCCTAACTACCCTTGACTTATTTACATAAAAGCAACAGTCCTCATTTAGGAAGAGACAAAGTCCTCCCTTTTCAGCAGTTAGTAGGTTTAGTGCCCTTTTATTTTGTAAAACTACTTCAGCTAAGGAATCCAATTGATCTTGAAGGGCCACTAGTGATATAGCTACTCATTCTATGTCATACATTAAGTCCTTAGACAGTTGATGATAGTATGTGGTTGAGGCTGCAATGCCTCTTATTCCAGTATCTATTCCAGCTGTTATTCCTTGTCCAATTAACAGGGGTATAATTGGGATGGCTCTTTTTCTTTGGGTATATGCTGCTAGAGGCCCTGTAAGAGATTGGTTATTGGGAACAATGTTTATTTGTGGAGTGTGCAGGGCTAGAGTACAGGTTCCTGCCCAGTTGGCTGGTAGGCATTGGTAGGCATTTGATCCACATATGAAGAAAAGGGCTGTAAGAGGTCAGCACCAGGGTGAGGGCCACGTTCCTGGATATTGATAGCTTGGTGACATTGGGTGAGAGTCAAGTTCCTGGATATTGATAGCTTGGTGACATTGGCTGCTGGTTAGGTTGCCAACTGGCTTCATTTCCATTTTGTTTGTTAGGCATTTGGAAGCCTTTTGGGACAATTTTACCTGGGATAGTATGGTACCCATTTTTTGAGACTCCTGACTGTTGGTCATTAGGGTAACATTTATAATTTTTTGTGTTATTTGAGTTGTGGTGGAGCAGGGGGAACTGTGGACACACAGAGCCAACAGTCTTTGGCCAGGTTGGGGTTAGTATCACTAAGGAGGCGATGAGTTGCATTTAACTTTTGATTTAGACAAGCGTCTAAGGTAAGAGGTTTATTTGGCTCATAGCGGTGAACTATATCAGAAGTGACCCAACAGACTTGGAACAATAGGGCAGGTTGGGTCTGGCAGACCCCAGTAAGGGTTTTCATATTTTTTTCCTGTTCAGTATGCCTTTTTATTTTTAGTACAGAGGGTGCAGTTTTAAAACATCTACTTGGTATACGGGGGTAGATGATGTTACAAAAGCATGATGGAAACCTTGATTTTATTTTGAGGTCCTGGTATTTACTGGTTGAAACAGGAGGTAGGGTTCTGGCCTGTGTTGGGATAGGCTTTGGGGAAGAAATGTGGTTTTGTGGAAGAAAGGAAGGATAACAAATATAGCATTCCAGAGTGGTAAGGTAGATTACAAGGGTAGATGACACTTTATGAGTCCAGAAAATGACTTACCATGAGGTGACACATTGGTGTAGTGTGACCCAAAAGGGACAAATTTGGTACAGTGACTTATTGGTAATGGAGAGGGAAGGATCCAGCTACCTTCACTTATGAGTCTGGATCGCATCTTAGGATTAAAATTTTGTATAACATAGTTTTCAGGACTGATTAACATATATATATTCCTATTGTAAACATAATAAAGCAGTAATACATTCTATGCATGAGAAATACAGAAGTATCAATAAAGACTTTTCGCCACATTTCCAATTAGTGGGGGTTACAGCAATTAGGACCACACCCAGAGCCAAGATGATTGGGATGTAAAGGGCGAGGGTTAAAGGATGACAGCAATACATTTAGTGAATTAACAACCAGTGAAAGAGTTTATTTATGGTTTTGATGGCTGGCTCCTCAGTAGGTTTGATGCTCTGTAAGTTCTCTGGAGGTAGGACTGTGGGCTCAGAGGGTGATTTTGAGGGAGTTCTTAGGGTCTCTGGTTGCTGTTCAGTTGACTGAACTCTCCGGTGGTAAGGCAGCTTTGACTTGGGAGTGATGGGCCCAGGTATCTATACCTGCAACTTTTAAAGCTGTGGGAGTTGTTAGAAGTACAGAGTAGAGACCCTTCCATGTAGGCTTCAGAGGTACCTTGCGCTAGTTTTTTAACCAGACAAAATCTCCTGGCTTGTAGGGGTGCATTGGGTTGCTTATGAGCAGGAGAAGTCTTTACAGCACCCAGTGGTGTAACTGGGATATATATGGTGTTAGCTAAAACCTGTAGCTGGGAATGGATATCTAGATTTCCTATTTCTTTCCTGTCTCTGGGGACCCTTACAAGGGGAGGCGGTCTGCCAAACAGGATTTCATAGGGGGAGAGTTTGATTTCTGCTCAGTGAGAGTATCTTACCTGAAAGAGAGCCATAGGCAGTACAGAGGTCCAGGGTAGTTAGGTTTCCTGACAAAATTTACTTAAAATTTGCTTTAGGGTTTGGTTCATGCCTCAACTTTCTCTGAACTCTGAGGTCTGTAAGCTGTGTGCAAGTTTCATTTGATTTGTAGGGCCCTTGGTAGCTCTTGTGTAATCTTAGCCATGAAGGCGGGCCCATTGTCTGATCCAACTGAGGTAGGCATTCCATATCTAGGTAAGAGTTCAGTTAGGAGGACTTTTGTTACTTCTCTAGCCTTTTCAGTTCTGGTAGGGTATGCCTCAACCCAGCCTGAGTATATGCATACAATGACTAATAGGTATTTACATATTTTGCTGGGTGGTAGTTCAGTAAAGTTATTTCTAGGCCTGCAAATGGGTTTTGTCCAGTTTTTTGTATTCCCGATGGCTGGGAAGTTCCTTGTTTGGCATTGTTGTGAGCACATTTCTGACATTTCCAGGTTACATTCCACAAAGCATGGGGAGTTTGGCCGTATACTAATACCGGTTCATTAATGTTTTTAATGCCATTTTCCCCCGTATGGGTGTTTTCATGAAGTTGGTGAACCAAGGGATAAGCCAGGTGGTTTGGGACAAAGGGCCATCTGTCTGGGGGAAGCCACCATTCATTTGAGCCCTTGGTATCTTTTCCCTTTTTATCCAGTTTTCTTCTTCCTGGACAGAGCTTGGGCATTTGGGCAGGGCTGAAATCATCAACATTTTGCTGGGAGGGACCTGAGGGGTCACAGTCATGGCTGCCCATTTGGTCTCCATGTCTGCCCTTTGGTTTCCTTTGATTATGGAACTTTTTCCCTTTTGGTGTCCTTGGCAATGGATGACTGCAGCAGCCATGGGATCCCAGACTGCTTCTAGGAGGCATAGGATTTTAGCTTGATTTCTAATAGCTTTTCCTCCTGAGGTAAGGAGTCCTCTTTCTTTATAGAGGACCCCATGTATATGGAGGGTGGCAACGGCATATTTTGAGTCTGTGTAGATATTTACCTTCTGTCCTTTGCTTAATTCTAGGACCCTGATTAAAGCCATCAGCTCTGCCCATTGAGCTGATCATTCCATTGGGAGGGCCCTTGATTTTATTACTTCTGTTTCTGTTATGACCACATATCCCACCAAACGCTTCCCATTTGACAGGAAGCTGTTTCCATTAGTGTAGAGGACAGAGTTCGCAGATGGCAAAGGCTGATCTGTGAGGTCTGGGCAGCTCAAGTTGATCTCATCTGTTGTTTTAATACAGTCATGGTCTGGGGATTTTGGTTTGGCAGGTAAGAAAGTGGCTGGATTTAAAGTTTGTACAGTCTCTAGGTGCACCTGGGAGCTTTTGCACAGAAGGCCTTGGTAGTGGTTCATGCACGAATTGGTGAGCCAGTGGTGCCCTCGGTGGCCCATTTGGGCCATGATTGCATGAGCAACTTTGATGTTCAGG